CAACCTAAAAGTTTTAAAAAAATTCCTTAAATATAATAATAAAATTATAAATATTTTTAAATTATATAAATTCATCATCTTAAAGTTTTTCAAAATTTTTGTAAAAAATTTAAGAACCATCACTCCCTAAATTTTGTACTTTAAAATTTAAAAATTTATTTATTTTTTTGATAAATTCTAAAAAAAATAATAATAATTTATTTTTTTAAGTATGATTACCTTTTTATTTTAAATTTAGTAATGTTAAAATAATTGAAAATTTATTTGTTAATATGTTAAAGTCATTTTTGTGTGATTAGGGTCCAATTTTTTTAGTTGTTTGCTTATAACTAAATAATAATAAAAAAAAATGATTACTCAAGAAGATACAAGTCTCAATCATATGTAGGCAGCAGTAGTCTACCTAGAGCAGTCATCATATATTCAAAACAAAGAAACTTATCTTCTTTCTCTTAATTCACAACTAGTGAACCTAGATCATCAGAACCAGTGAACCAAAACACAACCTCTCTCTCATGCGTCGTGAGTCTTTTAGCGTTCAAGATCATGATTCCTCCGGCAATACTCTGGTACACACACACACTCTCTCTCTCTCTCTCTCTCTCTCCATGATCTTCGTCTCTCTCTCTCAAAGAGTAAGGGTTTATTATTTGGGAAAAAAAGATTGGACTATGAACTTGGTAATGTTGGAAATGGAACAATTTGTGTAATTCTCAATCAACTATTTATACTTTCGTATTACATTTCTATTGACCTGTTGCTAGTTATGTTATTTTTTTTTTATTGTTTACTCATTGAAAATGACATATCTTTTGTTAGATTAAATTATGTTGTTAGTGTGCTTCTTATTTAAAAATTATTTAATAATTTTCAGGTTCTTAAATCAAATTGAGTTGAATATTAGGTGAATTATGGTGAACAAAAAAATTGATTCTTTCTTTAAGAAAAGAGGCTCTCAAGATATAGAAGTTAATGCAACTACAAAACCTTCCACTGATAATGTTGAAGCTTCAATTCCTAAACAACGTCCTTGTAAAGTGCCTAGAATAGAATACAAAGAAGTTGATACATCTTCTTTTGTAAGAGATCCAGGACTACGACCACAAATTTAGGATTATTTGATATCTCAACGTGATAAGATTTGACAAGTTTACATCAAATTTGGACCATACCAACCTAACAACCAACCTTTTGAAGAGAAGAATGGGCATCATTTTTTAGCTTCTTGGTACAAGTTATTTCCAGATTGGCTAGAATATTCTTCAACCAAACATTGTGCCTTTTGTCTTCCTTGCTATCTTTTTACAAAACTGAATGGACGCGCTACTTTTAGCGCTTTCATTTCTGATGGATTTTCTTCATGGAAGAAAGTTATTAGTGGAAAGAATTGTGCTTTCTTAACTCATATAGGAAAGGGTCCTAATTCATCGCATAGAATTGCTGTTAAATCTGTCATGATTTAACAAATCAATTGTAACACATTGAGAAGATAGTTAAGAAACAAACTTCTCAACAAGTTGTAAAAAACAATTTACGGTTGAAGACTATGATAGATGTTGTCAAATGGCTTACATTTCAAGCATGTGCATTTAGAGGTCGTGATGAAAGTCATGGTTCTAATAATCGAGGGAATGTTATTGAATTGATAAAGCTCTTAACATTTTATAATATGGATGTGGTAGATGTTGTGTTACACAAAGCTCCTCAAAATACTTCATACTACTCGCATCGAATTCAAAAAGAGATTCTTAGGGCCTGTTTGGTAACGTTTACATTTTTAATTTATATTTACAAAAATTTTATAAACTGGTTTTTGTTTATTTTTTGTTTAGTTGAGAAACAAACTTCTCAACAAGTTGCAAAAAATCATTTGTGGTTGAAGACTACGATAGATGCTGTCAAATGGCTTACATTTCAAGCTTGTGCATTTAGAGGTTGTGATGTAAGTCATGATTCTAATAATCGAGGGAATGTTATTGAATGGATAAAGCTTTTAGCATTTTATAATGCGAATGTGGCAGATGTTGTGTTACACAAAGCTCCTCACAATGCTTCATACTACTCGCGTCAAATTCAAAAAGAGATTCTTAGTATTTTCTTTGACAAAATACAAAGATTCGTTTGTGAGGAGATTGATGAAGCAAAATGTTGCATTATAGTAGATAAAGCTGGAGATGAATCAAAGAAAGAGCAAATGGCTATTGTTCTAAGATTTGTTGATAAAGATGGTTTTATAAAGGAGCGTTTTTTTGACATAGTTCATGTATCGGATACAACATCAGCAACTTTGTGTAGACGTGCTCCCGAGGAGGACTCATCGAGCTCCGCGCTGCGAAGGTGCAAAATTCGCTTTGTTCTTTGAGCTACTACAGTTCGGACTCAAATGTCATGGTTCTGAATCTAATCTCACAATGTGTGATGTGAGATCGATAAATCACCAAAGAGTTCAAATCCGACAAATCGTTTTGGAAAACTGATTTTTAATAAAGAAGTGCCAAACATGGACTGCTTTGCCAAATACAGAGTCGCCACTTAAATATTTTATTTTGGGAAAATTTAGGAAACCCTGACTCGTGCCTAAGGCCACGTGTCCGTCATCACCAAAGTTGCCTCAGCTCAAGAACTTGGATACGAGAGAGGAAGGTCATGCAATGAGCACCCCCGCTCGCCCGATCAAAGATCAACATGTACTAAGCATAATATTTTGTTTTTAAAAACACATGTGCTCTTATTTCGATAAATTAGCTAATCTTTACTACGTGATGCGCACAACAAACAAGTATAGGCTTGATCGCCTAATTTGGAACAAAACATTGCATGTTTGTTTGTGAAAATGGTTTGAAGTTTGCTACTCACAAGTAGACTAAAGTGCGGATTTCAATGAATTGTTCCAATTCAAGTAGTCCAACCTTTACCCACAAGCATTCAAGCAGTTAATCAATTAAGCAGTTGGCCTCATGGCAAGCATGCTAACATGACAACATACACATCTCATGCAGTATGCTAAAGCGTAAACACTCACAGTGTACTCCGAGCCAAAACAAAGAACTAGTTAGAAATCATGCATGATCCTAGTTCATGTTAAGATGGCTAATGCAACACATGCGAAAATGCAATTTAGATAGGCTAAACTACCTAGAATGTTATGTGAAATGCAACTTGATACATGTATTCAAATTGGAATTGAAATACAATGCAGTTAGTATGATGCGCCGAGCCCGGTGCATGTAAGACAGATGAATGAATGCAAACATGCGAAGCATATGGTATGCTAAATGAAACATGCCCTAAAACTAACCATCATAAGCGGTTAAGTAAAAAGAAGAAATAAATAGAGGTTGGAAGACATGCATCGCACACACGCACGCTTATTACAACAATACGCCCTCTCGACGGAGGGACCGAATAAGAAGCTAACTAGCTAATCTAAACTAATTAAACTACTTATTACTCAACAAATTAATTAACTAATCCTAGTTAACTAATTATTACAAAACAAATTGAAATAGCTAACGCATTAACTATTAAAGGTATAAACCAAAGCGTAAACTAGCTAAACACATTAGCTAAGTAAAGCAGTAAAAGCAGGAGCTTCAGAGGGAGAGGAATGCATGTATGCCCGATCGCCTCGTTTGGAAATCCAATGCAATGCCCCAATTTGCCTTTGTTTTCATTTGTTCTCAGAACACTGCACCAAGCTCCAGAAAGCTGAAACTTCACCTTGGGAGTCCTGTGGGAAGGTGGCCGACCACTTTTGGTCTCTGCAGCCACTTGCCGACCACTTTCTTTGTTGAAAGCTAGAAAAAGTGGTTGGCCAGCTAGTTTTTTTGACTGGCCGACCAGTTGTTGCTGCTGAATTCCAGTTTGCTGCAACAGAGAGCAAGAAAGGGCATGGCAATGTATTTACAAGATATGTGTGCACAACCACTCTCCCTATCATGTAATGAACTCAAGGAAGTGTAGTTCTCGACCCTCGGGCTACTAATCGCGCATTTCAATGCATGATGGCCGAGAGGCGAAGTTGCACAATTCAATATTAAAATGAATGCACAAGTAAACACATAAAGCCTAGAACTCTATCATGTATGATCAAGAGCGTTGGCGATTGAGAATTGAGGCACATTTCATGACTTTAAGTATGAAACGTCCCTCGTTTCTCGTGTTTGGACTAACACCTATTCCAAACAACAATGCAACACATAACATGGCAAACATGTAATTAACATACTAGTATACACAATGCGAATGAACTACATGGCATACACAATGCTCATGACAACTTAGCATACTCAACGCAATGTGACGTGATTGACTTAACAAAGCTAATGACATGCGAACAATTCTAATGCATGCATGCACAATGCGATGCTATAAGGGCAACTTAGCAATGTTATGAACATGCATACTCAATGCAAAGAAACTACTTGGCATACATAATGCAAATAACCATACAGCATGCACAATGTAATGTAAGATGGCATACTTAATGCAATGAACAATAAGCATGCGAACAACATGTAAATGAACATGCTAAATGGACTTAAATCAAAACAGGGGGGTAGACCTCAGTCATGCCCAAATCAATGGCCAAGGGTGATAAAATTAAGGCACATGAAGCACATACAAGCATGTATAATGCCATGGCCTATCAAAAAGGCCTAAAAGCACAACTCTCGAGAGTACTCAAAGAGTAACAAAAGTGGAAGTGTAGCAACACCAAGTGCACTAAAATGAGGTAAGAAATGATGCCAAATCATTTAATCAACACAAGTTAAGCATGTAACGGTCCTTAAGCATTCAAAGCTAGCTAAGAGGACTACAAAGGGGGCATGCAATATATGGCACAAATGACTAAACCAAACATGGACAGAGCTTAAATAGGTCTTAACAAAGACCTAAACATGCTAAGATGGAGGCTCAAAGACCTAGGCAAGATGGCATACATGCTAGGCCACAAACTAGGCAACAATGCACAATACTCTAAGACGCTTAAAGAGTGAATGAAGTGAGAACATAGCAAGTCTACATGGTCTGAAATGAAGTATTAAAGGATGCTAAATCATGTACATAACACAAATGAAGCATGCTATGGTGCTTAAAGCATAAAGCAAGCAAGAGCACTTGCACTACAGCTATGCAAAACATGAGGCATATGGCAAAAGCAACCCAAAACAGTCTTAGGACATGTTAAAATGAGTCTAAAACATGTATGGAAGGAAGCCAAAACAAGTTAACATGAAGGGCATAAGGCACGATGAACGCAAGGCAAATAAGGTGGATTACACTACACCCATTAAGACCAAGTATGGGATGACTTAACCAATAAAAATCAGAGTTATGTCATGGCAAGATAACCCCAAAACACATTGAAATGATGGCTCGCAAGCTAAGGCATGAAGGCATACTCAATGATTCATGTTAAGGCATAAAGGGGTCAACCCTCCAATGCATTGAATGAGTGATAAATGCAAGTGCATAAGCATGAAACATGGATTGAAATCACATATGAAATGATGCCAAATCATTCAAATAGGCCAAGTAAAGCATGCTAGTGGACTTAACACACAAAGCTAACAAGCTAGATTGAACCAAGACTATACAAAGCAAGTCATGCATGATCAAGACAACACAAATTAGAGCTAGAGCATGCTAAAACATGGACAAAAGCTTATTGAAGTTAAGCCAAAAGCATACTAAAAAGACATATCAAAGCATGATGCATATTAGGCTATTTGATGGAATTGCACTACAAGTGCATGAGGCATGCAAGAGGTGACCAAACAAAACCCTAACAGAGGTATGACATGGCAAAACATCACCAAAAGCATGCTGAAATGGACTCAACGTAAGCTAGAAATACATGCTATTTCATGAAGCATATAAGACTAGTTTATGAAATTTACACTACAAGTGTATAAGGCATGCAAGATCCAACCAAACCAACCCAAAGCAGATGTAAGGCATGGTAAAACAACACCAAAAACCTACTGAGATGACCCCAAAACAAGCTAGAAAGACATGCTCAAACATGAGGCACACAAAGCTAGTTTGTAAGATTTACACTACAAGTGTATAAGGCATGCATGGAATGACCAAACCAAGTATAAATAGTGGTATGCCATAGAAAAATAACCACAAATACAAGCTAAGATATGGTCAACATAAGCTTAACAAACATGCTGAAATATGAGACATATGAAGCAAGTAAACAATACGCAAGGAGAGGGGATGACCCTCTCCTATTTAGGACTCCAAAACTACCTTTCTACTACTAAAAATTCTCTAGATTTCAGTGGTAGAAAGGTCATGCAAAGGCTACAACAAGAGCCTAAAGGGATGGCTCAAAACAAGGCCTAACAAGGCCTAAGAGGGGGTGGATCACCCCCAATGAAAAAGTGACCTTAAATAAACTTCTTAAGCATGAAAAAATAGAACTTTTTCCAGTTAAGAGCTAAGCTTAAAATAATATGAAAATAAGGCTAAAAGCTTAATTAAGAATGGGGGATTTAAGGGCTAAAGACTCACCCTTGAAGACCACCTTTACAACTGCAACTCCAGCACACTTTTTGAACCAAAATCAGTCCAAGAACTTCAAAAACAACCTCAAGAAGCCTCAGCAACACAAGCAAGGTGTTTGAGTGTGTGTTTGTGTACAAAAGTGAGACAAAACTACAATTTAAAGTCACAAAACAAGAACAAAAGAGAGATATAGATACAAGGTTATATCTATAGCTCAAGCGAGATTTTTCTGAACCTAGCGGAGGGAGGAGGTGGTTCTCTCTTATAGAGAACCAAAGGCAAAGCTTCTCCAAGAAGCTAAGGTTCAAACCAATCCCTCTATACACGTGTATGGAGGATGGCTCTGGTGCCCTTCAACTGTGCTAGTTTGAGGAAAATATCTCAAAAAAGGTGCCAAAAAGCATCCGATCACTTAAAGTGGTCGGCCAGCTACTTAAAGTGGTCGGTCGACCACTTTAAATGGTCTCCTAGAACAACAACTGGTCGGCCGTGGTGGGAGAGAGTCCAGAGGATGAAAACAAGCAAACGGTGTGGTGGCCGACTAGAAAATATGGCCCAAAGACCAAGGAGACCAGTTGTCAGACCAGAAAACTGGCTAGCAGGAGGAAAAGTGGTTTGCGGGGAGAGAAACTGCTCTCCCACCTTTGTACCACCTTCCAAACAAGGAAAACAAGGTTTGTACCAAACACAAACCAAAACGGATGCAAGACGAAAGTTCGGGAGGCAAAACGCGCAGCCGGGAGCCTCGAAAACTAGCTGACAAGCACCAAAAGTGGTTTACGACCACAAAAGTGATCTTCCAAACCACGGTGGCCCTCTAGACCAAGGAAACAAGGTGTGGTTCAAAAATCACGCCAAACGGAGAATGTTAAATGGTCCCGAGACAAGGCGCGCGGCCGAAGGCTCCAAAAATCGAAAACTAGTCTCCAAACGGGAAAAGCGGCCTACGACCACAAAGAGTGGTCTACAAGACCTCTCTCTCCCTCAAGAAAGAAAAACCAGACTTGGTCCGCAAACCGAGCCAAAGCACAAAGAGTTCAGAGGCTTGGAGGCAAGGCTCTCAGCCAAAACTCCGAAACCTCGAAACGAGCACAACATGCGCTATCACCGAGCGCTGAATCGATGGCGTCTGAGTCTTAAGGTCGGTCAAAAATAAGGTGTCTGCACTTTGAAAGAAGAAATATGTATTGTCCTATCTCGTCATAATCTCAGTGCACAAAATATTTGTGGTCAAGGGTACGATGATGCTAGTAATATGCGTGGAGAGTGGACTAGGTTACAGGCCTTATTTCTTCATGATTGTCAGTTTGTGTATTATGTTCATTGCTTTGCTCATTGACTCCAATTAGCATTGGTAGCGACAGCAAGAGAGGGTATACTCGTTGGCCAATTTTTTTCTTATCTGGCTCTCACAGTTAATCTATGTGGCTCTTCATATAAAAGGCATGATCAGTTAAAAGTTGCTCAAGTTAAAGAAATTGTAGCAAAACTTGCCATTGAGGAAATTGAAATTGGTAAAGGCAACAATCAAGTTGGGACATTGAAACGAGTTGAAGATACTCGATGGGGTTCTCACTTGGGATCTATTTCCAATTTGATAAATATGTTTAGTGCAACTTGTTCAATCTTAAGTAATGTCATCAATGATGGAATCACCTCTACTCAACGTGTAGATGCAGATAGAGTTTATGATAAGATTACATCTTTTGAGTTTGTGTTTATCTTACAACTTATGAGAGATATTATGGGGACTATTGATGATCTTTGCCAAGCTTTGCAACGTAAATCCCATGATATATTGAATGCAATACATCTAGTGTCAACTACAAAAGAACTTACTCAAAAATATAGAAAAGATGGATGGATTCTTTTGTTGGAGAATGTTCAACTATTTTGTGAAAAATATGACATAGATAATCCTGATATGAGTGCTCGTTACACATCTGGTAGATGTTGTTCTTGTCACCAAAGAGATCACATTACTATTGAGAATCATTTTCGGGTTGATATTTTTACGATTATATGTGATTCTCATTTGCAAGAATTGAACAATAGATTCAGAGAAGATGTGATGGAGTTGCTTATTCTTAGCTTTGCTTTAGATCCTAGGGATGATTACAGTTCGTTCAAATTGAAGATATATGCAAGCTTGAAAATCAATTTTATCCTAATGACTTTACAGAGTAAAAAAAAATACATTTGAAATTTCAATTACAAAATTACGAGATCCTTAAACATCCTGAGTTTCAACAGCTGATGACAAGTTCTGACTTGTGCCAAATGTTGGTAAAAACAAGGAAGTTAACAATTTATCCTCTTGTCAATGAATTAATTCGTCTTGTTCTAACTTTACCAGTTTCTACGGCGACAACAGAACGTGCATTTTCAGCCATGAAAATTATAAATACTAGATTGCGCAGCAGCATGGAGAATGATTTTCTTTTAACATATGTTGAGAAAGACATTGCTTGAGATTTTGATGTAGATTCCATCATAGATTCCTTTTATATTATGAAAGAACGTCGAGCACAACTTTAGATGCCTAAGTAGATATGTAGAGCAAATAGTTATTTTTTTTGAAAATTAATATGGATTTACTAGAACATATCCAATTGTATTTTGATAATATTTTATAATTATATACGATGAAGGAAAACATCTAATTATATATTTTTGTGATATTTGGATAGAAATTGATATTGTATATCACAGGGTCATTACTAATTTTTTGATTGCATATACACTCATCCCCTCGACATTAGAATCCTGCGTCCGTCTCTATGTACATGCATTGTTGGACTCTACCAATTTTGTATATAGAACAAATCATCATGTGACTTGACAATTAAGCCCTGGTTTGGCTATCATTTTGGGTCTAAAAAAAGCACAAAATGATAAAATAGGTTAAATAAGCTAATAAGATAAAATATCACATCAAATCCATAATCATTGTACTTTTTCTCTCACAAAAGTCAAAAAAGTCAAAAAATCTAAACCAAACGAGTCTTAAAAGTCAAGCTAAAAAAGTGTCAATACAAAAAAACTGCCTATATTAACCAATATCAAATGAAGCTTAAGTAGGCCATTTTACATTCAAATCATGCTGGCTCTCTCTAATTATCATGACAGCACAACCACCAAAACAATAAGACATGTCATTAAGAACATTATTAAGTGTGTTTAGTTTTAATTTTCTGAATTCAGTTTATTGAAAATTGAGTTTTTTATTTTTTGTTTTTTATTTTTTGTTTTTAATGAATATTTTTAAAATTTTAAGCATTTTTTTTTTACTTTTTTAGATACACCTTACTTAGATGTATCTAAAAAGTAAAATTTTTGTAAAAAAATATTTTAAAAAATTAATAAATATACAAAAATATGAAAAATATACTGAATTTTCAATTTTTTGATATTTTTGATATTTAGTGAATTTTTTATAGATTTTTTTCACAAAAATTATACTTTTTAAGTATATTTATGTTAGGTGTGTCTAAAAATTTTAAAAAAAAATTACTTAAAATATTAAAAAATTGAGTAAAAATAAAAAAAATACGAAAAACTAGAAAATAGAATTTTCTGAAAAGTGTTTTCAAAAAATTGAAAACAAACATGGTGATTATTATTATTACTCAGCTTGTTTGGTTTTGGTTTCTAAAAAATACTTTTTAAAAAAAAATATTTTTTTATTTTTCATATTTTTATAACTTAGTTTATTTATTGATATGAATTATTGGATAAATTACACCCACCACCATCTGATATGAATTATTGGATAAATTAGACTCACCACCATCTTTGAAGTTTAGAGAAAACACAATTAGTCCTAACTTTTAACATAATTACAATCATAACTAATTTTCATTGTTTTACCTATGAAATAATAAATAAAAAAAGATCTCGAACCAAAAATCAGTGTACAACCAGTTTTTTTTTTCTTTATTTGTTTATTTTTTCTCGAGAGAAAAAGACAGAAAATTCTCAAAAGCCTTTGGGCCATTATGGTGAGGGGGTGGCCGTTAAATGATAAATGCAAACCTGCATCTGACAAGATCAATAGCACCTTTATAACACTTGATTAAATCTATGTCCAGATATAGTTTTTGGGCAATGGTAGAGGGTTACAATTTTTGTGGTTCAAATGGCTTAAAATTGTCAAAACGACGTCGTTTTGAGCACAAAATATGCCAAAATGACGTCGTTTTGACAGTTTTGAGCCATTTGAGCTACAAAAATTGTGGCCCTCTAACATTTTCTTTTTATAAAATATGTTGTTAAGTTTACATTACTAGGGATCTTGTTTTTATAATCTAAGACATTTATTATATTTGTTTGTAAAAATTAGAATTTATTTTTAAATATATATTTATCGTTTATTTTTATTAAAAATAAATATAATAAAATAAAATAAAATGTTGTGATTATCAAATTCACTTAATTTTTTATATATATATAATGTACTTTAAGAATTTTATGGTGAATCGTACGAAATTTATGAAAACCTCATGAAATTTTCAAATTCTCTTATGCTCCAATATAAACCAAGAATCCAAAAAAATATCCACACGCTTGTCCAATCAATAAAGTTTTCTATTACATGTAAACAATGGGTTATTTTAAAAAATAGAATAAAAATTTATTTTTATATTTTTTTAATATTTTTACTAAAATTTTCTATTACATGTAAACAATGAGTTATTTTAAAAAATAGATTAAAAATTTATTTTTATATTTTTTTAATATTTTTACTAAAATTTTCTATTACATGTAAACTTATTTTGAAAAATAGATTAAAAGTTAATCTTTTAATTTCAATGCTACCTAATAATTGCCCAATCTTTCAAATCAAAAAAGCATAGAGAGGCAGAGAGAGAGAGAGAGAGAGAGACACACACACGCAAACCCAAGTGAGCTACCCATCAAACACCACCTCCTCTCTACCTCCCCCATTTCTCCAGGCCAAAAATGAGCACCCAAGCTGCCGAAAACGACAAAAGGAATAAAGAAGAAGGAGAAGGCAAGAAGCCCAAAAGAGTTCCATTGATGAAACTCTTCGCATTTGCCGACGTCTACGATTACTTTCTCATGTTTGTTGGGTCAATCGGAGCTTGCATTCACGGCGCTTCGGTGCCGGTTTTCTTCATTTTCTTTGGAAAGTTAATAAACATCATTGGATTGGCTTATCTCTTTCCTGCACAAGCTTCTCATAGAGTAGCCAAGGTATATGCAAAATTCATTTTCACTAACAGTATTACCATGCACTAGGTCAGTAGTTTTATTTATTTATTTATTTTTTAAGTAAGAGATTATAAATAGAAGGAAAATTACATCCAACAAAATATTCATGAATTGAACTGCTCAGCTCTCATTCCAAATTGGTTAGTTGAGAGGTTTCGTTTTACCAAGTGCAATGTTTGAGTTTGAATCTTATCGTTGTAAATTATTTTATTTTTTTTCTATCTATTTTCTTATTATCAATTGTAGGAAAAAGAAAGAAAAAAAAAACCCTTCTTTTGAAACTCATTGAAAACATGATTCTCTCTCTCTTCTCAATGATAAAGTGTCTAGCGTGCCCTTAATTAAGAGGTGTTCCTTCTTTTTTCTTTTTATTTTTTATTTTTTATTTTTTATTTTTAGAAGCGCCAAACAAATGAATTACCCAATATTTCTCTTGTTTAGAATTTCAAATAAAAATACAGAGATGTAAATGAGATCTGTAAGCCACAATTTTACTTACACCAGAGCACAAATTCATTTATACCTCGACATTTTTATAATTATTTTCACTTTTTCCCATTGATTTACCATTATCTCTCTCTTTTCATGTGTAGCTTACAATTTTTCTTTTGCCTTTTTTTTTTGATTTTTTTGATTTTTGATTTTTGATTTTTGATTTTTGATTTTTGATTTTTATTTATTTATTTATTTTTTGCAGTACTCATTGGATTTTGTATATCTCAGTGTGGTTATATTATTTTCATCATGGACCGGTATGAACAAATTATTACATTTTTAAATCATTTTTTCTAAATTATTTCTAATTAAGAGTATGTATAAATGTGAATGATTATCTTATATATATATATAGAGGTGGCTTGTTGGATGCACAGTGGGGAAAGGCAAGCGGCAAAGATGAGGATGGCATATCTGAGGTCCATGTTGAATCAAGACATAAGTGTTTTTGACACAGAAGAGTCCTCCACTGGACAAGTCATTTCTGCTATTACTAGTGACATTCTTGTTGTTCAAGATGCCATTTCTGAGAAGGTATATCATCAACTTTAACTTTTAATTTCTTTCTTCCTTTCTTTCTTTCTTCAAACAATAATTCAGATTTTATTTTTCTTTCCTTTTTTTGAATAGTGTTATATCTATCTATCTATCTATACTATTATAAAATGAACACCATGAGTTTAAGTACGAAGACTCATACCACTTAAGCTAAGTACACATTATAATATTAATTTCATTATTATTTTTTTTATTCTTACTTATTTAAATTGCACACATATCGTGTGTGCCACCCACTAATATATATATATATAAATGTAATACATTTTTCATATTCTTGTGTATTTATTAATTTCTTAAAAAAAATTATAAATATTTTATTTTTTAGATATATCTAAATAAGGTGCATATAAAAAAATATAAAAAATTACTTAAAATTTTAAAAATATTCACTAAAAATAAAAATATATAAAAATTTAAAATTTAATTTCTAAAAAATTAAATTTAAAAAATTGAAATTAAACCGTGTTTATTTTTATGATTTTATGACATGTCAAGTCAGGTATAAAAAAAAGTTTGTACGATTTATTTATTTATTTATTTTTCTTTTGTAAGTGTGGGATTTTCCTCTTTTGGCCTATTTTAGGAAGTGGGTTATAATCTATTTTTCAGATTATAACTCACTTTCTCTCTTATAAAAAAATTATTTATAAGTTGTTCATAAATAATTTTTTATCAAAAAATTAATTATAATCATCTTTTCAAAATAGATCATGACAATATAGAATTAATAATGCAAATTTAATCTTATTTGTAAAGGGGTAATTTTGAATTTTTATTACCAATAAAGGGAAATCCTTATTAAAAAGAGACATATGTGAGTAGGTGTCAGAATTAGCCTTTGTTACCCCCATTTTTCCTTTTAATTTTAGGATTGGTTCCAGAAATTGGAGCCACTCAAAATTTTGTTGTCAAAGGGCCCAGCATTTATAGCTTTTGTTTTTATTTTCTCACCCCCACACAACTTTAATCCAATTCATCATTAATCATCAACCTCTATAGTTTGGTAGGATTATTCGAACCGTCTAACACATTCAATTTGAATCAATTCGTATATAGATTGAACGGTTTCACAAATATAATACAGGTGAATGTGATTTGAAATATGATATAGTTGTGAATTTAACTAGCAAAAAAATAAAAATAAACCTAGACCGTGATTATTTTATTATTGCATTTTAGATGAATGTAAAAGCTAACGAAGAATTACTTTTAAGTAAGTTTAGAATTTTGAATGATTTTACTTTAATTGTATTGTTGGGTAGTAAACAGTGAATGAGATTAATAGTGAGTTAAAGTTCTCTCTCTCTCTCTCAAACTCTCTCTCTAAAAACCTCCTCCCCAGGCCTCTTTTTGGGCCGACCGGTTGCCGCGTTTGGCTATGGCGGTCGGCTAGCCTAGCTCTTTCCGGCGTTTGTTTGTTAGTCTTTTCCTTTAATAAACTTGATTCCCTCATTATTTTTCCACCTAGGTGTGTTTTGTGTGCTGTGATAGATTTTATTTTTTGGTGTTTTGGGGCCCGTTATAGCTGATTCTTTGAGGGTAGTGGTGTGTTGTTTTCATCAGGGGACGTCTAGGATCTTCATTCAAGCGCTCTTTTGCGAGTAGGAGCTTGAGGGGTGAACTCTGGTTCAGGTTTTTGGAGGAGTATCGATACCTTGTTTGGGCGGAAACATGGGTGTCGAAGTCGATCCAGATCTGTCTAGTTTTCATTTGAGGTTCCTCTTCGAGTGAGAGTTTGAGGGGTGAACTTCTTCCATTTGTATGGTGGTGTCCCAACGGTTGGTAGGTGCTTGGTCGGTGTTTGGATATGCAGTGGGTGTGAGAAAGATGAAGAATGCGTGCTGGAACCACCGCCACCACCACTGGAGAAGGAATTAGCGAGCTAATGTTGGAGCTGCAATGTCAAGTTTAGCAGGGAAGTTGTAGCAACATAGGTGTGGGTATTGGGAGTTGCAGCAGCATAGGCGTGGTGTGGGCTTGGGTGTTGTCAGTGGGTGTGTTCGGAGTTTGGAGCGGAATAGATATGTCCGACCATGGTAGTGGAGATGGCAGTGGGTCTTGTTCGGCGGTGGTCATGAGTGTTGATCGTCCTTGGGTGTGTTCGGATGCATTGAGTGCTTGGAGTTTTGAATCAGAAAAGAAGTTTCTGACCATGGAAGTAGGTCTTGGCGTGGTGATTAAGCTGTGTTAAGATAGGTGGTTGGTCTGTGGCTGTGTTTAGATGGGTGGAGTGTGGCCTTGGGTGCTGTCAGTGAGTGTAGCAGGTTTGCTTTTGATGCTATGGTAGAGTGTTGTCCGGCGTGGGTCTTGGTGGCGTGGGTCTTGGCTGGGCATTGGGAGTGTTGCAGCATGTGGGTCTTGGCTGGGCATTGGGAGTGAAGCAGCATGGGTGAATAAAATATTCGGAATAGTAGTGTGTGGTTTGTTGATTTGGTGTTGGTTTTTGGTTTTGGGTTATGTGGGTTAATTTTGTGGGGATTCATGAATTTTATTTTTCTAGTTAAGTTCTTCTTAACTCTTGTTTAAAAAAAATCATGAGATCAAGGGGTTCGTTGTATAGATGCGAGTAGCAATAGTAGGGGTAATCTGTATTTTCCGATTCTCTCTCGATGCATGTCATCTTTCTATACCTTTAATTTCATGCTGCTAATGAAATTTTTCTTTGCTGAAAAAAAAAAAAAAAAAATTGGCCTGGATTGTTGGATTGTAGTGAGAGAAAAAGGTAAAATGAAATAGCTTACTTTGACAGGATAAAAAGACATGCATGGCATTATTGCCACCCAAACAATTAAATATAAAACATACATGAATACTATGATAAACATATATTAATAAGTACATATTAATTACTGGTCCAACTAAGACAATTCAGTTATGTTCATTGCATTCCATTAGCAAACCTAAAACCTGCCTGCCTAAAATACAAAAAGAAACTGACCCTACATTAGATGGAGTTTGCTAATACAGATCAATTCAAAAGCATTGCCTAGTAAAGATAATGTCCTGGATAAGGGTTTAGACAACTTAAAACACTAGAAGTAGCATATCACTTAGAAGGTATGGACGTTTAGACTCATATAACAATCTATTCAAGCAATGTTTTTGAGCTTCTTGAATACAGCATCACCCTCCATATACTTCACAGCACGCTTATTCTTTTTGTCAGTGTCAAGAAAGCAAGCACAACATTTAAATACTCATATTATGATAGAGATTGGTAAGAAGAATAGAAGGTACCAAAAGAATGTAAAATACGTGTAACAAAATCACTTTTTTTTGGGTGGGTTAACAAAATTACTTCATTAGACTCACAGGCTTGAGAGTTTTATTACACTATTCATTTACTTTGAGACTACTTTAAGAATAATCGTTATCTAAGTACAATATCAGAATCTCTCTCGATGCATGTCATCTTCCTGTACCTTTAATTTCATGTTGCTAATGAAATTTTTCTTTGCTGATCAAAAAAAAAAAAAAGAAAAAGAAAAGAAAAGTGAATGAGATTGATAATCTAGTTTAGGATTTTAAAAGATGTGCTTGTATTAGTTTATGGTTTGATTTAAAAATTTAGGATTTTGATTGATTTATTTGTGTTAAGGATTAATTTTGTTATGTTTTTTTTATAAGTTTAAATTCATTAATTATTAATATTAGAGCATTTTAGACAATGGGGGGAAAAATGCCCAAAATAAATATTTACAAAATAGAAAAAAAAAAGACTCTAAGATAAATTTTTAAAGAAAAAAGTCCAATTCGCAAACCGCCTGCAACCGTCCGCACATTCGTGAACCCTATTCGCACAAACCGTAACCCGCACTGCGGGTGATTACAGGTTAATTTTTTTTCAAACCGCATATATGCGAGCAGATCTAAACTGATTCGCAAATTGTTTAAAACCAAACCGCGACCAACCTAGAATAGAGTGATATTCAAATCCTTAACCCCCGTTTGGCATATGATTATTAGGCTAAAATAATTATAAAAAAAATAAAATAAACTTAAAAATTAATAAAATAAAATATCGCATTTAATTCATAATCATTTTAATTTTCCGTCACAAAAGTCAAAAAAATTAAAAAATTAAACTTAGATGAGACTTTTTAATTCCAAACTAAAATAATCAAAAAATCAACTCATTCTCCAAATATAGATGCTAAAATTCTACCCAATTGAATTGGTCGTAATTGAAATCATGTATTTGTATGTTTTCATTTTCTTATTTCTGTTTTGTCTGCAATCAATCAATAATGCCAATCTCTCACTAAATTTATATGTATTGGAAATAGAAAAAATGTATTTAAAAAATAAAAATAAAAATAAGAATTTTATGAAAATTTCGAGATTTTAATATCAACATATATGGAATCAAGAGGTCATATCATTTTTTGGGATTAATTTTAAATTATATTTTATCATCAATTAGTATATTAATTAATATATTAATTAATACATATAGTATTGTTTTAAGGGTGGATGTCCTAGTAGTGACTGCATTTACTGCATTATGGGTTGATTGAATAATCTATAAAGCTATAATAAATATATATATATAAAAGAAGTAGAGTATAGTTTAAGTTCAGTTGATGTTTTGTGATAATGCTCATACATCAATCGGGTAGATGCAACAGAAATTGAAGAATTCAATGCCCTAAAAGTGACAGGAACTTCACATACAAAGGCCTCATCTTGTGACTATTAAGCGAATGAACCATGATTTTGGTTTATAAAATTTAAAAAATAAAAATAAATAATTGATCAAAACCTCTTTATAATAAAATTTTAATACATTAAGAATAAACATAAAAAAAATTATTAAAAAGTTCAATATATATCACTATTACTAAAATATATTTAGTGAGTAATTTAATATTTTAAGCTTTAAAATAATATAACATTTGATATAGATGTCAATTTTTAATAAAATTAATATTTTTTAAAATTATCTCATCAAGATCTACCAAATAAGATTATTG